GGCGGCCGCGGGGCGGGGAAGGGGCCGGACACGCTTGCGCACACGCGGGCCGGCGCCGGGGGGGAGCCGGGCGGCCCGGGCGGCGTGGACGGCGAGGCCCAGGGCGCGGAAGAGGAGGCCGCGTGGGGCGAGCGGGGCCTCCGCGCCGGGGCGGCGAGGCCCGAGGCGGGGTCTGTGCTGGCCCGCCGGACCTCGCGGGGGAAACCAGGCGCGGGACACGGGGGCCTGTCCCTTCCTGTCGCCCAGGCGCGCAAGGCAGCCGGTGCCCCGCGCCGGGGACTCGAGCCTTTCCTCTGCCCTGGTCTGGGCCTGTGGCCCCCGAGCTGCGTCCTGCACCCCCCACTTGCGACTCCTCCTGGCGTCCGGACCCGCGTTCCTCGCCGAGGGTGCCCTGCATCCTGCCGCGGGGGGAGCCCCGCAGGCCTCCGAGCCTGGTTCCTCGGTCCAGGCATTGGCCAAGAGGACCTGGAACGGCCCGGGCTGAAGGAGCACAGAGGTCGCCCTGCAGGACGATCCACAGCCTCTCGAGACGGTCCCTTCGTAGGTCAGCACAGTGTTTACTGAGCCCCGGTGGGAATGGCCCAGTGCTGGGGACCCGGTTCCTGTCCCCAGGAAGCTCACCGTCCAGCTGTAGGGAGGAGGCTCACAGCGGACTGCCATCCAGAATAAGGCAGGACAGGATGGGATTAAGTGCAAGACGTGAGCGACCTGCAGTAAGTGCAAAGGGCAGAGAAGTGGCAACTCAAAACCCGATACAGCTGAAGCCAGAGGGCTTGTCTGCTGAGAACCTGTAGCTCAGGAAGCTCTGCTGTGCACGGGTGAAGGCAGGAGAGGCGGCCTCCAAGTTCTTCCGCGGACGGCCGTGGTCCACCCTAAATCATGCCTTGCACCGGCGTTTCACCAGTGTCTAACTTAATTCTGTTTGGATGGTGTCTCTGGCTTAATCAGTCAAGCATTCATTCAACAAATATTTATTGCATATCATCTCCTGACCTGGAATTCAGCTGGGTATGAAGAGCAGAGTGACTAAGTCCCTGCCCTGGGCAAGCCGTGAGGGACAGGGAAGAGGCTTCCTGTCCTGCAGATAGGGACACTGGCCCCGAGAGCATAAGCAACCGCCCTCGGTGACCAGGTGCATCTGGCAGAGCTGAGCCAAGAGTCGGCCTGGCCTCTAAGCTTGGCTATTTGATGAACCAGATCCAAACACAGTTTGCAGCTCTGACTATGAACCATGTAAACTTCACTCTGCCAGAAGAGTGAACTTAAGAACCAACTTTTGCTCCTGGAGACCTGAGTTCCAACTCTGCCTCTGCTACTAAATAGCTTTAGTTTTCTTACAGAAAAAAAAAAAAAAGGAAATTGCTATGCTTATTCGAAGGGCTATTGTTGGTATTAAATCAGGCAACCGAGTGAATTTGCCTGAAAGTGTAACCTGCTATGTGCGTGTGTGCTGTACCATGCGAATGGAATGACTCTTCTGACCTGTAAGCTGCATTCAGGTTCCCCGCCCCCGGCTGATCCCAGGCTTGGTTGCCGGGTGCCCAGAAGCTAACTGTAATTCCGATCTCCTCCCTCAGGCCACGACGTGCTTACTCATCATCTCTCCCCAGTTTCTTAACAGCATAGCCAGAAGCTTAGCTCACTGCCTAGGAGCCCTATCATCTGTGGGGCAGGAGGGATGCAATTCTGGTGCTTTTTTTTTTCTTTGTCTTCTTCTTTTTACTTCCTCGTGCTTTTCTGATCCCAGGCACTGGATTCTGGAGCTCCCCTCGACTCCGTGGCACCCCTGTGGCCCGTCTACAAGACATTATGAGTTGCTCAGCAAGAGGCACTGTGCTGGGACCAGCGGGGCTCCTGGGACTGTTCCTCTTGGAGGTTAGCTGTGCCAGGGGTGGGGCAAGGCATCCTGAGGAACAGCAGGTCTGAGTCCCCCTCTGAGCCATGCCACCTCTGTCCCCCTTTCTTCTGCCTCCCTTTTACCGCACCTGTGTCTCTCCTGTGGAAGAAGTAGCAGGATACCTCTCTGCGAGGGCAACCTCAAGAGCAGAGCGAGACAGGACAAAGGGGTGTGGAGAGGTCCGGTGCTTCTAGACCTGGGAAGCCCTGGCCCTGCGGCTCCTCCTCGGCAGGAGCAGGTGTGAGCAGCAGCCACGGAGCCACTTGACGAATGTGCCTCACAGGAGCCACGGTAGCATCCTGCCCACCAGAAAGAGGGAACAGCAAGATGCCATTTGAGGAAGAAATAAACCCCATCCAGCATCTCATCTCAGACGCTTTTAAAAATAGCAACTCGGGGATGGTATTTCAGCTCCTATTTTTATCAGATTTATATGGCTGGGGCATGGAGCCGCGCTGTTCCCAGGGTTCTCAGTAGCAGGGACGTCACCGCTGCGGTGTTAGAAACCTGCCAGAAGGCCAAAGCTGAGATGCATTCCAGGAACCTTTAGGCTGAAAGAGATCTTGAGGAGTCGTTGCGTGCAGCCCCTGCCTCCGGTTAGGCCCACGTCTATCAGAGAAAGTTTCTGGCTTGCTTTCTTCCTTGCAGTCTCTTGGTTGCCATGCCTCCGCTGTAGAGTCCAGGACGTCTCAGCCCTTCTGATCAGGAAGTTGTTTAGTCCTGCCTGAGTGCATTCAGTCAGCTACAACACAGGATGGGCGGCTTACAAACCACAGAAACGTGTTTCTCACAGTTCTGGGGCTGGGAAGTCCAGGATCGAGATGCCAGCAGCCACTTCCTGGTTCACAGCCGTCACCTTCTCACTCCAACCTCACATGGAGGAAGGGTGAGTCCTCTTGGATGAGAAACTCGTCCCGTTCAGGAGGGCTCTACCCTCACTCCCGAATCACCTCCCAAAGGCCCCATCTCTAATACCATCACTTTGGGGGTTAGGAACTCAACATAGGAATTTGGGGAGGGACACAAACCTTCAGGCCATAGCAGATACCAGGCCCAGACATCTCTGATTCCATCCTTTTGGTCACTCTCAGCAGAGAAATAGCAGCCAACATTTACTGAGTGAATACTATGTCCCACAAAATTCTCCTAATTTTACTCCTCACCAAAACTCTCTAAGGGGAAGCGCTATTATCACTCCCGTCTCATGAGCAGTTATGTAACTTGCCCAAGGCCAGACTTGGTAATGGCGCATATTCTATGCTAGAGCCGTCAGACCACTCTGCTTCCCAAGCAGCGGAGAACAGAACCATATGCATTTCCTCTTAGCCTTGGCTTTTATTTCTTCCTCACAGTTCTGGGGGAAAATGGCTAGTGTTCTGACCGTGTGTGCATGCTCGTGCTGGATCTCAGCTCTGAGTCCCAGCCACACTCAGCACCGACCTCCGAACTTCCGGGCCTTCGCTTGTGCTTGCCTGTGGATGACAGTCATCAACTTGTAGCCTAGAACACAGAAAGACAAACACTACGTGGTCTCCCTTACATGTGGAACCTAAAACCATCTAGTTCACAGAAGCAGAGAGAATAGTGGTTAGCAGGGGCTGGGGGTGGGGGCAACAGAGAGGGAGGACACAAACTTACAGTTTGACAGGAGTTCAGGAGATCTGTGCAACATGGTGACTGCAGTTAGTAACAAAGTATACACTTGAAAATTAATCAGAGATTCTGATTTTATATATATACACACACAATGGAATACTGCCTCAGATGTTAAATGTTCACACAATTATAAACAGGTAAGTGCGTGAGGTAATGCATATGTTAATTAGCTTGATTAGCAATTCCACGCTGTAGACATGCATCAGAATGTGATGTCATGTACCATAAATATATTCGATTTTTAGTTGCCAAAACAGATAATTACTTCTTTAAAAAAATGAAAAAGTTTTAGCCTACAGGTTTAGCTCCTTTAAGCCCTCATAGCCCCTCAACTTCAAGGCACTCATCGGCTTCGTAATGACTCTGTAATTAATGCCCGCGTTCCCCACAAAACCGTAAGCTCCATGTGAGCTCCACCTCCGGTCCTCACAGGAAAAAAAAGTAGATGCTCAAAACCTGTTTATTAAATCAAACTGAATTCAAACAGTTTAAGCAAATTCAGTTCCTGCTTCTTTTGTCACAGTGGTTAAAGCTTGGTGACTTCAAAGTGACATGGACGTCAGAATCCAATATTCGGTAACAACAATAAAACTTAGGGGTTGTCGATATTTTCCTAAGGATATTTTAAAAACAATCACTGTTAATTATCACCTTCTTCTTAGAAAAGAAAGGACATTTTAACATGATATGCACGTTTGGAATAAAGACAGGCCCTTCCGAGGAGGAAGGCTTGGCAGACCCACATCGATAGAACATTCGGACGTTCGATAGAATATTCGGATGTTCGGGATGTGGAGGTATTAGGAGAGAAACATTATAAATATCACTTTGTACGTGATTATTTCTTGATTTGTTTCTCAGTTTGGAGATCTGTGTTCAAAAGGGACATGGAAAATGGAGCTTGAATGTTATTTTTCTTAGTTTCCTGTTGACAAATAGAGACCACTCAGCAATTCTGCTCTGTCGGGAAACTTCGAGGCAAATGGGTAGAAGCCAAGGAACAGCCATCGTGCTTCCGACTGCTGCTTTCCTTCTCCAACCAGGCCAGAAAGCAAGCAGGCCAAGTGCTGGCTGGAAGCCAGTTGTGGAGTGGCCCAGCATTTATCCGGGAAGAGTGACATCTGCCACAGCTGCGGCAGAGCAGGGACTCGGCACGCACGGGTGGGCACGCGAGTAAACACGAGCACAGGGGACCAGCTCGTCGCGCTGCCAGGGAGGGGCGGGCAAGTGCTGCTTCATCAAGGTGGGGCTGCAGATACTGTGCCTGGTTCAGGAAGCTCTCAGGGAAGGCAGGATGACGGGCTCTTGAGTGACAGCAGGAGAAAAGCGTGGCTCTTACGCTGCCTCCCCTGGCCTGAGAGCCGGGAGGCCTGGATTCAAAGCCTGGCTCCACCCCTCCACCTGCACCTGTGCATTGAGCACTTCCCACAGGTGAAGCACGACCCTAGGTCCTGGATTCACAGCCTGGCTCCACCCCTCCATCTGCACCTGTGCATTGAGCACTTCCCACAGGTGAAGTACCGTCCTAGGTCCTGGATTCAAAGCCTGGCTCCACCCCTCCATCCGCACCTGTGCATCGAACACTTCCCACAGGTGAAGCAAGGCCCTAGGTCCTGGATTCAAAGCCTGGCTCCACCCCTCCATCCGCACCTGTGCATCGAGCACTTCCCACAGGTGAAGCACGGCCCTAGGTCCTGGGCAGATGGTAACAAACTGCTGGAAGACTCTGCTGCCTGGAGCTGCCATCCACTCCGTAACACCGGACACGGCTCCCTGAGCCTGCTTCGTTGTACCCTGGGGCAAGGATGCGAGTCCCATGGAATGATCTGCTCTGTTACAAAGTGTGATAATGTTGCTTTGAGCCAGACAGTGTCCTAGGTGTTGGGGATACAAAGATGACTAAAACAGAGCTCCTAGCCTCAAGGCCCCTCCGTTCAGCGGGCCGGGGGCGAGGGGCGGAAGGTAGACAGACTAAGTCACGAGTAGAAACAAAAAGGGGCGATGTGCATGAAGCTACCGGACAACTGCGAGGAGCGCCCGACAGAAGAGATCACCCTACAAAGACACAGAGAATGTCTTCTGCACCCTCCACAGTGCTCGGCACAGTGGCCCACCCAGCGCCCCTCCGGCACAGGGCCCGGCCCAGCCTCACGGAATGAGGCACAGAGGGCGAGAAGACCAGGAGCTGGGCTCTAGGAGGGGCCGGGGCCGGCACGCTCTGTGGAGATCGCAGCAGGGGAGCACTGGCTGCTCCCAACGGGCAGCCTTGCCAGGCCTCGGGCAGAGCCTTGTCTTTCCAGGCATAAAAATAAGGGGTGAGGTCTAGAGAGGGACCCTTCCGGTCTGCTGTGAAGATAAATGAGGCTGGGGAGAGGAGTGGAGGTGACACTATCCCAGAGAGGCCTCTCCCTGAAGAGTGGGCAGCCCCGTGGCAAAGGCAAGACACCTTTCAGGTGCGGGCCTGTGCCCTGGACGGGCACTCTGCCCTGTGCCTCCCCAGCCTGGTCTGTCCCGTCTCTCCTCCCTCTTTGCAGATGTATGCATCCAGCATCAAGTCCCTGCCAGTCACCCTCCATGGCGGGATGGAGCGGGTGGCAGCAAGAGCCCTGGAGAAGCACCAGGTGGGGCGCGGGTCGGGAGGCCTGCTCTGGGGGCTTCGCTTCACTCCTTGCGGTGCTGGAGACCAAGACAGTGCTTGCTTGTCAGGGCCACGTCTGCTTTCGGAGGGGAAGGGCGGCATCTCCTCCCCCGGCACCTGGGATGGGCACGGCGGAGACCCAGGGCGGAGCCCTGCGAGCCGGAGGCTGCTCTGGAGGACTCCCGCCCAGCCCCCCAGCAACGGCCAGTGTCACTGCCCACAAGAGTACTCGCTTTTGGTCCGGAAACGGTCAGACGTGTGGCCAGGAGACGGACCCTGCCGACTGCATCTGAGATGCACCCTCCCACCCTGGTCACCACCTGATCCAGCTCCTACGTGCGACTCCACCCTGCCCGAATCCGGGCTCTCGACGGCTGGAGGGGCCGGTCCCTTTGCTGTGCCTCATCTGAGCTCCCTGAAGCCTGGAGCAGGTCCCCAAGGCTTTGACCACACACTCCACCCCCTGCCATTTCTAGTCTCCTTCCCAGGGCACAGAGAGCAAGTGCGGCTCTCCACAACACACAACACACGACAGCCAGTGTGGGCCTGGAGCAGGTGGCAGCACCTGGGCCACCACCCGAGGGCCTCACCTCCAAGGAAAGGGGCTGGACTCCGAATCCAGACCCCTGCTTCTCGGGTCCCCCTCTGCCTCATGGCTTCCTTCTGCTCTACTTAGGAGCCCAGCGTCCTGCCTTCCCTGAGTTTCTGCGCTGGCCCTGTGAGGAGGGAGTGCCTGTGTTCACCTGTGTGCCCGTACCTGCGAGCCCCGCCCCAGCTCTGCTGGACGTGGCAGACGTCATCCCTCCCAGAGGAGCCCCTGATGGGTCCCTAACTGGTCATCAGCCTCTGGCACCCTGAGGTTCCTTCCAGGTCTCCAGCCCCTGTGAGCCTACGGTGCCAATCACGCCTGGAACCCGCCCCTCCGAGCTCCAGCGGCGACCTCGGCCGCCAGGTTGCTCGCCCACACGCTGTTTTGCACTTGATCTTCTGGCTGCTCCGAGTGAGTCTGTTTTGTCTTCCTGCCTCGATAAAGAACTCAGGGACTCGGACCCAGATAACGGAGGCGAAGGCTTTCCAGGCTTGCGTCATGTGGTTCTCATTAAAGCCCTCCCACTTCCAGGCACCAGCCCCCTCTCCTGCCAACAAGAAGTTGATCAACAAGGCTGACTCACAGGCGGGAGGCGTGACCTCGACGCTGGGGGGGAAGGGGGAAGTGCCAGCGGAAAGCTCTACAGATAATTTCCTGAAAGGCTGAGTCTGGTTTTTTGGGGAAACTCCTCAAAGGAGAGTTGGGGGAGGGGAGGCTGCGGCAGCAGGGCCGGAAGGAGGCGCCGGAGAGGCAGAGTCAGGACAGGGCAGCGGACGACGTCAGGACAGGGCAGCGGACGCGGGCGGTGAGCACCGGGGTCGGCACAGCCCTCGGCACCTTGCAGGGCTGCTCCACCAGGCCGCCGAGGCCGCCCCCGAGACCTGCCATCCTCCTCGAGCCCTCCCACTGGTTCTGCCCACCCCTGTGCGCTCACCCCTGCCTGCCCAGGCCACGCCAGCCACACCGAGTGAGCCTGGCACTTTATTCGTGTCCGAGGAATGAGCCAGTACCAAATACGTTCTTAGAAAACTCACTTGGAGATAAAAAAAAAACCCACCCCCACCCTCCCCACATCCCACCAATCTGCGCTCTTCCCACGCGGACTCAGCTTTGCTGGGCCTCCTGCAAGAGCTTGAGCAGGGGGTCGTCGGCCCGGAGGGCGAAGGTGAGCGTGCGCCGCTGGTAGTGCCTGGGGTCACACTCCAGGTTCTGGATCACCTCGGCCAGCAGGTGAGCCCGCTCCACCCCCGAGCCGGGGGCCTCGAAGCCCAGGGCGGTGAAGTGCGCGTGCAGGTGGTAGTAGGAGGGTGGGTAGTGCAGGTACACGCGCAGGCGGTCCCCCTGCACCTGGTAGCGCTGCCAGATGGCTTCCTGAGGAGAAGGGACAGCAGTCAAGGGGTCATCACGCTGCCCAACAGCCAAGGATGCCCCACCCAGACCCTCCCCTCCTCACCCGGGCCAGCTAGTAAGAACCCTCCGGACAGCTCTCTGCCCCGTTTGCTTGGGAGCCTCTGTCCTCCATTCCAGGAAGTCCACCGAGGCAGGTGGCAGCAGCAAAGTCAAGACTCGTTTCCCCAAAGGAACGGCAGTGGCCTGGGTCAGGGCTCCCCACCCCATCTGACCACGACACTGGGAATCTAGGAGGCCTCGTGCGAGGGGCAGGCCCAGATTCCCAAGACTGTGGGGACCACCCTTCCTCTGGATGACGGATACACGCAATAATCGTGGGTGGGGGGAGGAAGCCTCGTTCTCTCTCAGCATGGACAGGTGGAGAAGGGGGGTGGCTGTGCTAATAAGAACTCGGGTGAAGGAGAAGGCACGGGGCAGGGCTGCTCCCAAACAGACCAGGGAAGTCTCAGCTCCTTTCGGAAGGGGAAAGCATCTACTTCGGCCCTGGCTCCCTTTGCCCACCTGTCTTGCTCAGGGGTAGGTCTTGCCCACCAGCCTCCAGCTTCAGGAGCGTCTAGGGCTTGGAGTTGAGAGGAGACGCTCATCTCCACGGGGGGCTCACGTGCCCCAGAACTGTCTTCTGCCCTCAGAGCTCACCCAGCGACCTCTGCAACAGGGCGAGGCACAAGCAGGAACGGCCTGCAGGTGAGGCTGCCCAGGCCACTAGCGCAGGTCATCCTCCCCAGAGGAAGACATCGTTCTCTGCCATCTGTGGCTTCAGGGGCTGCTCCACAACAGAAATGAGTCACGCCAAAAAGACGATGGCAGCCAGAGGGGTGTGCCACGGGCAGGCGAGACGGGAGGAGGAGGAGGAGACAGGCTGCGGGGCAGTGGCAGGGGCTGGGCTCAGGCCGAGCCCTCCGCCGGGCAGCGCGGGTCAAAGGGGCAGACGGCTCTCCTGGCCGGGCGTCCTTGTGACGCCGCCTCGGCACAGCAGGCAGAGCTGCACGTGTCAGAGTGGGGAAGGAGGCTGGGACCCAGTCACGCCGAACGGTGGAATTAGAAGGGATCCCATCCAGACGCTGAGGTCCAGAGAGGTAAAGGGACTTGTCCCAGGCCACTCAGCTGGGCAGGGTCAAAATGTCAGGCCAGGACCAGAAGCCAAGATTCCAGACACTTCCCCCAACTTCCCCTGCTGCCAGGGCTCCCTTCAGCCCCCTATAATTTCATTTGATTCAACAAACATCCCACATGGAAAGTGTCCCGGAACACTAGGTGCTACAGAGTTTAGTCTGCTCTCAATCTACACGAGGATACACGTGGACACGCATGTCAAAGTCACGTGCCCGCATATCCAGGATATGCTCTGGCCTGATGTGGTTGTCGTGAGCGAGGCAGGAGACCCTGGGGGGAGGGGCTGGGACGTAGAGGATGAGAGATTACGGGGTGAAGGCCAGAAGCGCAGCCCAGATGGGACCTGCAGAGAAAGGCTGGGAGCCTGAGGGTGCGGACAGGTGGCGGGAAGTAGCTGAAGAGTAGGGCAGGACAGGGGACGCGGGGCCTTGTGACTCCACCTACGGAGCCTCAACAGGGTCCCCGATGCTGGCATCCAGAGAGAAGCAGCCCTTTCCGAGACCGACTCTGGGAAGGGTGAGGAGAGGAGCCCAGGGAACACACTGGAGTCTGACTTCTCTGGGCTTCGACGTGGTTTGCTGAAGCAACTCACCTGCCCCTGGTGGAGGATGTTTCTGAGCAGCGGCAGATGCTCTGGAGTCAGGTCCCGCAGTGACCTGATGCCGCGGCGGTGGCAGATGGCGATCAAGTACAGGTCGTCAAGCTGTGCGGGGACGGAGCGGAAACCAGGCTCAGCAGCGGACAGAGCCAGGGAGGCTGCCAACCCTGGAATTCTCACGTAAGCCAGGAAGCACCCACCCCCAGACCTGCAGAGCCCACCAGAGCCAGTCCAAGAGACCCCACAGCAGGACTGATCCCCAGGCAACGTGGGCGTCCATGTGCCCAGGGCAAGTGGGACAGTCTAAGGGACAGGGCTTCTACATATTCTTCCTGCTAAAGAACGTCATGTGCAAATATCTGTATACTCTCCCTGCAGAGCTGACAGGGTCACGGTGGCTCAAGAAAGAGCCAAAGACAGCTCTTTCCACCTAGAGTTTACGGTCTAATCGCACGTACATAAGTAACTCCACTGTCAGACCTGAAGTGATCACAGAACAGGAGGGAGGACAAAGACTCTGGCTAGGTGGGCAACCCAGGAAGGCCTCCTGGAGTCGAAGGCACATGGGGTGTGGAGGACGAAGGGACCCAGGCCCGATCGGCAACGCCCATTCGCACCGGAGGGGCTGGCGTGTTTCTCTCCTCCCGATCTCGAGTTCGTGGAAAGCCCTTCCTTCCTCAACAGCGCCGGGCTCAAATCCGGGGGTCACAACAGTGCAAGCACCGAAGTCCACAAGACCTGGTGCCAGAGAGCAATCGCACACCTCCTCTCACCCAGCAACCCTGCCTGCCCACCCAACCCGGCCTTGCCCGGTCGCCACACCCATGTGCCAGGCAGGCCCGACTCTAGGGCTCCGAGGGACAAGACACAGGGGAATCCAACAGTGCCCAGCCCTGCCGTCTGAGCTGCTGGACGCCTCCTGGAGGGAATTTGGAGACCATGAGTCACGCAACCAAACTCCCGGGGGCCCCCACTTGAAACCTGAGACAGGGATGTTCCCTGTGACTGCGCGGTGTCCAGCCGTGTCACAGTCTCTTCCTGTCATAAGCATCTTTCCTGCCAGGGTTCTAAGAATCTGGATCTCTGCCCCAGACCTGCTGCAGAGGAGCCCACGGGGAAGCTTCCAGCATGTGGCTGGGCTGAGCCTTCCACAGGTTTGCCCACAGGTCCCTTCTGGGCTCTCCCTTCTCACGTCCTGTGCACAGGGCCTCTGCCCCTCGCTAGCTAGAGTCCAAGGAGAAGCCTGAGCTTGGGGTGTGTGTGTGCGTGTGTGTGCGCGTGCGTGAATGCGCAGGTGTGTCCAGTTCCAGCTGCTTCCTGTGTCACTGACACAGGACTCCCGAATTATAGCAGCGTTTATTCTAGATGACGTCTGCTGACACATCCCAAACTTGACATTAAATCCCGACTCTCCGCTCCACTGGCATGGAATGAGGCATGGAGCCTGGTGCTGGGTGGCAGCCCATGGTGTTGGGTGTCAGCTCACAGGCTGGGTGAGGGAGAGAAAAGGATCCGTTCTTTGATATCGGACGTGACCCAAGATTTCCTGCAGGCAGCCAAAGGGCCTCCTGGCCCAGAGCAATGATCTGAAAAAAGCTAGGCCAGGGGCAGGTGAGGGTCTCAGACTGGCACCCCAGAAGGTAGCCATCAGTCACTCTGGGAGACAGACACCATCAGTCTCTGTTTATACGGCAAGACAGTAAAATCAAAGTAACGGTTTCCTGCAAAGAAGCAAGACAGAACGGCTGGAGCACTGGACGGCTGTCTCTCGACCTCTGGAGTAGCTCAAAGGAAGAGTTCCCTGGTCTGACAACTTTAGACCAAAGAACTTAAGCCAGGTGAACTGAAAACACGTGTGTCTATACACACGCGTACAGATGTGCTCATATATGCAACACACAAAAGCACCCCTGGCAGGAGGGGCAAAGAGACCGTTGTTTCTGGGGAAGGGAGAGGGAGGGATGTGGAGGTGAGGGAACGTTCACTGCACGTCCTCCGTACCGTGCACTTCTGCCATGTGCGTGAATAAGCTAGACCTGGCAGAAATAAAAAACAAACAACACACAGGTGATCTCTTAAGAGAACTGAAGACGGGAGGCCTCTGGGGAGGCCTCGTGTCTGGCACACAGGGGTCACCATCTGCTGAATAGACAGAGGGATGGACAAAGGAATAAAGAGTCTCTTTAATTCAGGGCCACCAGTTTGGGGACAGTAACTTCTAGAACAAATGGCAGGAGATTCAAGGTGGCTAGGAAAGCGTCTCAAAGCAAATCCAGGGCACCTCCCGCTCCTCAGTCCTTCCCCAGCCCAAAGACAAAGAACAGAGGCCTAGGTTGGCCTGTCTTCCCGCTGGATACATGGCCTAATGCTAAGGGAGCTATCGAGCTCAGTGCTGTCACCAGTCAAGGATTCGAGACCCTGGAATATGGCACCACCAAAAGCCAAGTAAGAAGCAAGCAAAGGTTAAGAAGAACCACACCTTACCGCGATTAAGCAAAGCCTGACATTTAAGCTGGCCCATTCACAGACCCAAGGGCGAGAAATCCCAGCCATCTGGCTGGGAGCCCAGTGCAGTTCCTGAAGGCTTTCCTGTCTTAGAGAGGACAGAGCGAGGGCACTTCCACTGGCAGGCGAGGCAGAGCCTGCCAGCACTGGGTCACAAGGACGACGGATTTCTGTTTTCAGTGCTGTGGGCTCACATGCGTTCAGGGCTTCTGGAACGCAGATGGACAAGGCCACCTTTGTTTGTCCCTCCATGGCCTTCAGGCTGCTCTTCGGCCTTCAAGAGTCTTGCAAGGCAGGCGCTCCTCCCACCCCGCACCCCACCGCCCTGCCGGGACTCTCATGAATGGTGGGTCCCACTCCTACGACCCAGGCTTCGGCCTCAGCCTCGTCTCCAGCTCTCCGGGCGCAGGGCTGCCCGAGGGGACACACGGAAATTTGCAGAGCCTCCATTCGGTCCTCCCTCTGGGCCTCGTCCAGCTCTTCAAATGCCCCCAGAGCCAGTCCTGGCTCCCTCCCTCACAGCCTGGAGGTGGCACAGGCAGGGAGGAGCTGCGGGCAAGGGGAGAGCGGACCAGGTGTTCTCCTAGCCTCTCACTGTAGCATCCCACCTGGGGAGCCATCCTCTTTGATCTTACTTGGCTCTAAGAAATCATCCCTTAGTGCTGCAACTTCTGGAAACTCCCTTCAAATTCCCTACCACCCCTCGGGCCACGTTCGGGAACTGCCATGAGCTGCTTGTCAAGAGATCAACAATGTGTGCTCGCTTGTGTGACTCTGAGCCAAAATCCCATCCCCTCACCCCGACCACAGGCCCTCAGCCGTCCCTTTCTTGGCAGTGGAGAAAGGGCATGGCAGTCCTAAAATCGCCAACTCAAACTAAGGCCTCAAGGGCAGCCACAACTGGGAAAGTAGGAAGGAGGGTGTCCACGGAGATACAGCCACCTTCTTTCTAAGTGACAGTCCATGTGAGGGGCATGGAATCCAGACGGGCCCACCTACAGCAGAGGAGCAATTCTGAGTCCGGGTTACTCCAAGAGTGAACCTGGCAGAGAGGACATGTATCTGCTCCCAACACTCCCAGACACAAAAGCACCCCTGGAAGGAGGGGCAAAGAGACCGTTGTTTCTGGGGAAGGGAGATGGAGGGATGTGGAGGTGAGGGAGCATTCACCGTACGCCCTCCGTACCGCGCGCACTTCTGCCATGTGCGTGAATAAACTAGACCTGTAAGAAATAAGACAGACGCCGGGCGCGGTGGCTCACGCCTGTAATCCCAGCACTCTGGGAGGCCGAGGCGGGCGCTTGAGCTCAGGAGTTCGAGACCAGCCTAAGCGGAGCAAGACCCCGTCTCTACTAAAAATAGAAAGAAATTAGCTGGACAACTAAAATATATACATAGAAAGAATTAGCCGAGCATGGTGGCACGTGCCTGTAGTCCCAGCTACTCGGGAGGCTGAGGCAGGAGGATCGCTTGAGCCCAGGAGTCTGAGGTTGCTATGAGCTAGGCTGACGCCACGGCACTCTAGCCCAGGCAAGAGAGTGAGACTCTAGTCTCAAAAAAAAAAAAAGAAATAAAAACGAGGAATGACTACTTAACTCTTCTTGTTGAAGAGTCAGGAAAATTTTTTCTGAGAAGGTGCTCACTGACCTGAGTTTTAAAGAGTGAATAAGAGTTTTCCAGATGGACTAGAGTAGGATGACTATTTCCTTTTCCAAGTATAAGGAAGACTTTGTACTCCAGGGACCTGCAAATATTTTAGAGTGGCCAGAACACACACTACTATGTAGCAGAGAGAAAACGTGGCTGCCGCCTCATCCTGTCCCCTCTCCTGTTGGAGGGCACGGTGTGAACAGCATCCTGCGACCAGAAGCTCTGCCTGGTTCTGAGCCTGTCAGGGTATGACAGTTTCTGATACCATCAGGGTACAAAAGAGGTGATGGTAAGTGGTAACGCTGGGGGCGGGCTGGTCCGGGAGACAGGAAAGTGGCGAGGGGGTCGCGGCTGCAGAGAACTGGAGAAAGGTGCTGTGAGTGTCTGAGACCTGCCTCCTTGGAAGGTGCGGGGAGGTAGGGCGCTTGCGGGCCAGGGAACGGGGAGCCGCGAGGCTCGAGCGGAAGTCTGGACGGCTGGCAACCTGCTCTGCTGCTCGGGCTGTGCTGGGGACTCCCTGGGTTGGTCGCCATGGTTCCTGCCTTCCAGTTCTTTAACATGGGCCTGCCCGGGTCTGCTCGTGTCCAGGGGCACGGAGAGAATGCAAACACCCACCTGAGGGCTCCAGGTGCTGGGGGAAGCAAAGCAGGGACCCCGCGCCACCTGGCTGGTTAAGGAACGCCCCGTAGTCGTGGGTGCAAACGGCGCCCATTTCACCTCTCGGTAGGAAGAGAGCTGGAAGGGGCTTTGAGCTGATGAGTAAAGCAAAAGTGCTGTGTGTGTCAGGTGTGTGCTCTGCCACCACGGAGAGCTCGGGCCACCCTCGTTGGTCAGTTATAATGTGCTCAGAGACAGAGGCTAACGTGAGGGAAAGGGCCAGCCAGAGGAGGGCCAGCAACGGGGGGCAGGTGGTCAGAGACCAGAGGGGCCGGCACGTCTTTACCTGCTGTTGGTTCCACTTGAGGTCGGGGATGAGGACAAAGCCGTCAGAGGGGTCTGGGTTCTCGAAAACAATCCGGTCTGCTTCGGCCTTCTTGTCGAGAATGTTATACACCCACTGGAAGCGGGGGGAGAGAGACGGTTTACAAACCCACTTACCACCCCTTGGAGACGCCCCGAGCCGGGCTAGGTGAGCTCTCTGGCCTCTCCAGGAAGGATGACCAAGCCAAAAAAGGTCACTAAGCTCAGGGGATCCTGTCCCCAAGCATCTGCTCTTAGGCGTCCAGAAGACATCTTCCCTCCCCCACCGCAGCGGCCACTCAGCCTCCGCCGTCGCACAAGGGCCTCTGCAGCTCAGACGGGCCAGGCTCTGTAGGCTTTTCCGGGTCAGCAGGGGGCTCACGCCGTGTGGGGGCCTCACAGGCCTGGTCTGCCTGCGCTTGGACGGCAGCGACCTCCTCCACTGCCCACGGCACTCGGGGAGCCGTCTCCAAGGATCTTATTTCACCTCAGTGAGGACGGTGCAGCGAAGAGAGGTCAGGAGGCCGAGGACACCACAGTCCCCTTCTGCAGAGGGAGCCGGCTCCTTTGCCACGGCAGCGAAAGCCCATGGTTCTAGAAGTTAACGTGTGTGGGTTTCCCGCCCTCCCGCGACGCTCAGCCGTGCTGGGCCCGGCGCCTGGCCCGCCTGGAGCGGCTGCAGATGCCCGAGTGCCGGCACGCGCAGCAGACCCGGCCCCACCTCACAAAGCGGGATCGGAAGCCACGTGGAGACGCGGAGACGGTGACCTCACCGAGGCCTTTCACGGCGGCCCAGGGCTTCTGGGCTGTGCCTCCGTTTGACCGGCTGCTGTTGGCAGTCTTCAGAGGACCCTGCCCAGGCCCTGCCTGGACCCCAGCGACGTCCCTCTACAGGGACAGCCTGGGGAGCCCGTCTGCGGTTAGGAGGTTATGGGTCAGGCTGAGAAGGCCCCTGGGCCCAGAGCTCACGCACCCAGGTACCTCCAGCTCTTCTCTACTTGCCCCGGCTATGGGAGCCCTTTGGAAACACACACCCCTTCCAGGACAAGGAACTCTCTGCCCTACACCCAAGAGAGAAACTCACTGGAAAACCAGCAAGTGGGGAGTGGCTGGGTCGCAATTCTGCCCCTTCCTCCGCAGTCAGAAGGGCCTCCGGGCTCACTGAAGGGGGAGGGGGAGCCACAGAGAGGGAGGCCATGGAACCGACACAAGCAGGCTGCCACCGTCCTCCTCCCACTCCCAGAAGGGCCGGCACAGGCAGCATCACCAACGGCCAGGTGCTGGGGCACTGGCTTAGGGTCTGCACACCTCATACCCCGAGCCTGGAGGGCTGAGCACCCCGCACTGCATCCTTGGCTCTCAGCGGGGACAGAGGGAGAGGGAGCAGAGGGCATCTGCCTAGGACTGTCTGAGCCTCTAGGTCTCCTGCAACTACCCAACTGGAGGAGGCATTTCAGCGCAGAGGGGCTCCAGACCCTGACAAGACCCATGGGCTGGTCACGACGTGCTCCACCCAACACAGAAGAGGCCCTTCCCAAGAAGTCTGGCGGGGCCGCTTCCTGGGAGGGGTCTGGAGGACACCCAGCAGTTGCTTCCTCATTTGGCACCCGGGCCAGAGCAACGCATGATCCAGCAAAACCAGCAGGTATTTCCTCTCTGATCTGAAATCTCCTGGGAGTGCTGCTGGAGGAAAAGCCAGCTGGAAGCTGACCTGAAGGATCCCAGAAATAAAGAGGAGTGAGGGAGCTGGCACTGCCCACAGAGAGCCCTGGTGCCCTTGCCCGCAGAGAGGCAGCACCCACCTCCGACTGCGATCAAAAGACTGAACCAGTTCCCAGCTCCACAGCTGACCAGCTGTCACCCCGGGCAAGCGACTGCCTCCTCCTGTGTAAAACGGGGCTGATATGCCCACTCGAGGGCTGTGGCGAGGGTTTCAGGGAGAACACGCAGCAGAAGTGCCCGGCAGCGCCCACAGCGGCGCAGCGCTTGAACAGCTCCAACACGAGGTGAGGAAGACAACGGGACGGTTTGCCGGAGCTATTACAAGATTGGCTGGGGACAGGAAGAGAGAGGCAAAGGAGGGGACACGAGAAGAAACAAGAGCACAGCTGGAGGATGAATGAGCGCAGGAAGGTGTGCTGACCATCAGCTGGTCTTGCTCTGTGCCCGCCGCTCAAGGTGCCACGGCAACCCTGTGAGGCAGCTACTCCCACTGTCCCCACTTTGCAGGTGAGGAGAAAGCAGGGGTCCACGCAGCTCCCACCCACTCAGGAGTCCTGCTCCCGGGACAGGCCTCTGGGAGAGGGGCAGGGACCAGCATCTGCAGGAAGTCTCAAGGCCAGAAGCCCAGACAAGGAAGGGAGGAGAACAAGGGCACAAAATCCACAGAAATCACAGAGGGCTGGGTAATGCAGTGTGCCGCCATCTGACAGTAAGCCCAGGTGACACCAGCCGCTTTCCAGAACACAGCTGGCTGGACTTCTTTGCAGCAGGTGACCCTGGCGGCCCCCCTGGCCCCCCACCTCTCCTGCCTCCCCGTGCGACATCCCGCCCCTCCCTCCCCGCCTCCCCTGCCCTGCGCGGTTCCCTGCCTTCCCCTCTCCTCCAGCCGGGCTCTGCCTGTCTCAGCTCTGCGCCTGCTCCCTGGGTGGCTACCTAGGTGTGGAGGACGGTGGCCACCATGCCAGCACCACTCCGTGCTGGGAACAGCTGCAGGCACGTGAGACACGGCACCTCTCAGTTTCAACAACGCCCTAGCGGGAGGAGCCGTCGGCCACGTTCTCCAGACAGGGAGGCCAGGGCTCAGAAGGTCAGGACGGCGTCACGCTGAGAAGCTGGACACCGAGAGGCTGACCCCGACTGGATGCCTCCCAGACGGACATGTCTGACTGCGCGGTGCTGCAGGCTCTGCAGTCCTACTGCGTTTTACTGGGCGCTTTGACGGGGCAGTTACAAGTACCTCGAATTTGAGAAGCCAAACAGTGTTGCCAGCTAAGAGCACAGATGCTGGGGCCAGACTGCCTGGCTCTGAGTCCCATCTTCAAAGGGCCGCTGTGAAGAGTAAACGATGCATGCAAAATGCTTAGAGCAGCTCGTGGCACCTACTAAGTGCTCAATAAATCCCAAACTGAACTGTCTTCCACGTAAACCCACTCCTGTGTCCACGTCCCCTGTGCTGCTGCACGAATGACCCTGCCACGCACGCGTCACCCAAGCCCTTCCCTCACCTCTCCATGTCGGCCAGGCGCTGAGCCACCAGCCCGGGGAAGACCCACCTCTCGAACTGCTCCTGCCGCTCCCTCAGGACCCTCCTCCGGCTCAGACCCACGCTGGCTCTCAGTCTTCCTGCTTCTGCTTTACCCTGCCCCAGCTGATTCCTCTACTCTGAGCATGCTGTCCACATGCTTACAACTGCTCAGGGGGCCCTCGCTGCCTTTGGCGATCGGTCTCAGATCTGATGATCATTAGAAATACGAGAGCTGTTTGGTTTTTTGTTTGTTTGTTTTGTTTTTTTAAGAGACAGGGTCTCACTCTGTTGCCCAGGCTGGAGTGCAGTAGCACGATCATAGCTCAGTGCAGCCTCAGACTCCTGGGCTCAGGCGAGCCTCAGCATCCCAAGTAGCTGGGATTATAGGTGCGTGCCACCACACCTACCTAATTTCTAAAAATTTTTTGTATAGAAGGGGTTTCACTATGTTCACCAGGCTGGTGTCAAACTCCTGGCCTCAAGCGATCCTCCCACCACAGCCTCCAAAGTGCTGGGGTCACAGGTGTGAGCCACTGTGCCTGGCCCAAAGAGATCTTTTAAAAATGCATATTTCCCAGCTCCTCTCTCTGAAGGGTCGGAGTCAGCAGACAGGGAATAGAGCCCCACGCTCTGTATTTGTAAGGCTCTCCCCAGGCAGTCCCGATGATCAGCAAGGTTCGGGAACTCCTGGCCTCCTGGACGAGGTCCACACTCCTCCTCCCAGCCTCTGCCTGCCTTCCTAGTGCCGTCTCTGACGCTCCAGCACCCCAAGCCCCAGTCACACCAAACGCCTGCAGCTCCCCCTGTCCTGCGTCAGATGAGTCCAGCTCTCTGTGCCTCAACCACCTGCTAAACTTCGGTTTTCCCTTAAGGCCCAAAAGGAAGGTCCCTTCCCTGTGAGGCCCCCACCATCTGAGCTGGTCACTGTCCCTCTGCATCGCCACTGCAGCTTGTACAGACCACCCGAGTGCTCATCCCATTATCACAGGGCCTGGGACACCAGAGATGCTCAATAAATATAACGACTATTGCCAGTTATGCTGACAGCTTGTTAACCTGCTAGAAACAGCCAAGAAAGAACATATGAACGCTCCTGTCGCTCAGGAGTCGGAAGAGTAGTAAAGTTTTTGTTGCATTCTTCTCCAAGTGGAACCGTAGAACGGTGTATAATAAGGCACATACATGACTCACACCAACAATATTAGGGCTTCTTGTCTTGAATTCCAGATATATACAACTAGCACAACAGAACACATGTCCCAGGAGAACAGCAGAAGCCATCTAAGCAGATGGAGACATAGTTCCTTTCCCGCCTGCGCCAGAGGTACCCTGCGCAACGGCTGATAACTGGGTGGGGGAAGGGCTGACGGCACACGGGCCTCCCACGGAATGGAAGTGTCATTCCCTGGGCCCGCCAACCTCCTTTCCTAAGTGCAGTTCACCCTGCAGCGCCCGCACACCCAGCCGCCTCCCTCCTGGGCCAGGGAGGCATGGCTGTGAGCTTCCCATACAGGACACTGTCCACCACGGTGACCTGAATCTTGGGGAGAGCAAGACAGAAACGCTCAAAGAGAACGAGTGAGCAATACAAAGAAGGAACCAGTGAGTCAGTGAGTGGGCAAGGAAACGACTCATTAACGAGCATCGATCATATTTAACTGTGAGTATTCACACGGGGCCAATTCAGGCAGAGGCTCTGGCTGGCGCTGGGCATAGGCCCAAGGAGGAGTCAGGATCTCTGAGCTAAACGGCCTTGCATCTGGCCCGGTCAGAAGCCTCTGCCAACTGCGAGCAGGCCCTGCACCAAACCCCCGGGGACGGCAGGGGCCTGCCTTCTGTGGAAGGAATGCAGCGGGGAGCGAGCAAGGGGAGTTTTTCCCTCGGAGACTCGGCTCCTGCAGGCTGGTTTGAGGCAGGTGCAACCAGGAACAGGAGCCTGGACGGGGCAGCCTCAGTGAGCATCAGTGTCTCACCATCCACAGTCCCCGAGCAAGGGTCCAGTCACTCTGAGGCTGTGTCAGGAGCAGACGCAAATCCCTCCAATGGGCCGGACTGCTCTGAGAGTCTAGAGAGCCTCCGTGGCATGCCCAGGCACCTCGGGGACGGGCGGGGGACTAGGGTCAAGTCCCTTGTCCACGAAGCTTTCTGTGACCGCCCACCCAGGCCTCCCACTTACCCTGTCCGCCTGTCACCACACACGGAATCTCACAGACCGCACAGTCCCTCATATACCTGTGCGCCGTCGGACGGTGCACGCATGGGCTCCATGAGGGGCGAGTGTCTGCTGTGCCCCCTCCTAGTACAGCACCTGGCTGGACCCCAAAGCATGCTCATGGGAAGAGACGCTGGCCACAGCAGCGTCTGAGACGCGCGGCCGGTCACCTGGATGCTGAGGCTCTGGGACTCCAGGTGGGGCAAGGTAACATTCCTGTAGTCCTCTGCTGTCTCTCGGATCAGGCGGAGGTCCTGGCGCAGGTACTTCTGCAGGTGTTTCTCTGTTGCAGGGTAAACCACGGTCGTCTTCACATCTGCAACGACACGGCACAGCTGGGACGGGAGGCAACACCCACTCTCCACGCCGCGGGCACCACGGTGGAGACGATCCCTGCCCGGCTTTGCTCCCTGAGGGCAGCCAGAGGCCAAGAGGTTCCATGCACCCACGATCCACTCCCACAAGGTGCCCGGTGCCATTTCATTCATGAGCTGGGCTGAGCCACACTTAGAAGCTGGAACACAGGTTTTCACCAATGGGTCTCTGGGCCCTTCATCACGTGAACCCCAACCCTGCCCTGTCCATTTTCCAGGCATAGGAATGAAAAGTCTCTCACTCTTCTCACATGCCAAATTTCTAGGTATGTGGCTTTCTGGACCCGAAGCTGAAAATGCGGTTTAAAGTCAAGCAGCCCCTTTAATGAGGCTCAAGGCGTGGACTCTGGAGCTGGAACATCTGAGTTCGAGTCCTGGCTCTGCCCGCTGCTTACTCTGAGTGGGACCCCTTGGTCCGCTACTTAACCTCCCTGTGTCCCTCCTCCCCACCTGCCAGACGGATGGTGATAGCTCCTGCGTCGCAGGGCTGGGAGGACTAAGCAGGGCGGTTACCTGTGCAGCACTCAGAACAACGTCTGGCACCCAGCAATGCACCTAAGTACTGGCTACTCCAATCCAGGCTTCACCAGCCTGGGCACCATCGACACTGGGCCTGGACAACTCCTTGCTGCAGGGCTGTCCTGTGCACTGCAGGGTGTTCGGCCGCATTCTGGGCCCTGCTTGGGTGGCAGGAGTACCTTCCCCTCAGCTGTGACAACCAAAAGTGTCTGCAGACATTGCCAAATGTCCCCTGGGGGACAAAATTTTTCTCAGTTGAGAACCACAGTTTTAATCAGAAGGACTTCTTGCAGTTTTCCTAAACAGACTCTAGGCTAGTGTCCTGGCCCAACACCACCTGGCTTTGGTTAAGTCCTTTCTCTTATTTTTAATGACATCTGGTACAACTGTTATTACTCTAACATTTATATACAGTGCTTCAAGATAGATCTTAGGGGTAGAATAGGAAAATGGTGTTTCAAACTCAGCTGGAATGTTTCTCAGAAGACCTGTGGTCCCCTCTCTGACTCCCTTACCCAAGGCTCAGACATACTCTCCCAGGGAAGCCCAAGAGAGAGCAGAAGCCCAGAAAGTGCAATTTTTTTTTTTTTTTTTTTTTTGAGACAGAGTCTCACTGTGTTGCCCGGGCTAGAGTGCCGTGGCGTCAGCCTAGCTCACAGCAACCTCAAACACCTGGGCTCCAGCGATCCTCCTGCCTCAGCCTCCCAAGTAGCTGGGACTACAGGCATGCACTACCATGCCCGGCTAATTTTTTCTATATATTTTTAGTTGTCCAATTAATTTCTTTCTATTTTTAGTAGAGACGGGGTCTCGCTCTTGCTCAGGCTGGTTTCGAACTCCTGAGCTCAAACAATCCGCCCGCCTCGGCCTCCCAGAAAGCTAGGATTACAGGCGTGAGCCACCGTGCCCGGCCCAGAAAGTGCATTTTAACACCTCAGGAAACTCGCGTACGCACCTACATACTTCAAGACCCAGCTGAGAACCACCCACCTACACTTTCGTGTTTGGTCTGAGAACACAGGAGACTTCAATCCCCCTTTCATGGGTAAGTGAAAAGGCCGGCAGGACTGAAGGACTTAACCGGGCACGTCTGTGAGATGTGACCAAGGCAAGACTGAACTCGGGACTTCTCACCCCAAAGTCAGTGCTCTTGCAACACTGCAGCCTGCCCAGTGGGATGTACTAAGCTGACACCCCAAGTGCGTGACTTTGGTGAGCATCAAACGTCCCAGTCCGTCAGCTCTGGGAGGCCATGCACACGGTGGGGAGACAGACGCTGGCCCTGAGTCGGCCGTATGACCCCCTTACTGGCTGTGTCCTCTGGGGCGTGTGACTTCTTTTCCTTTGAGGAACAGCGGCTCTGTGACAGCTCTCTGCAGCCTCAAACTCCTGGGCTCGAGGGATTCTCTCGCCTCAGCTTCCCGAGTGCCGGGAGGCTGAACGTCTTCAAGTCTCAGTTTCCTCGCTTGTTGCAGGGTGGCCATCAAATCTGACCCACAGCAAAGTTGTTGTTAACATTAAACAAAACACGTCATCTGGATCACGGGAGGTGCCCCTCAGCCTCCCTGAATCTGACCCTGAAGGGAGGCGCGAGGCTCCCTCACACCCCCCTGGGCAGCAGGCAAAAAACACAGCTCCGCACTTCTCACTGGGTGTGGCATTCTGGCCAAAAACGCACAACCGCAATCTAATCACGAGGAAATACCGGCGAACCCAAATCCAGGCACATTCGACAGAACAAGCCGCTTTATGATGCTTCAGAAATGTCCGAGTCAGGAAAGACCAAGAAAGGGTGAGGAACTGCTTCGGACTACGGGACTGAAGAGACGCGACTGAAGGGACTGGACTGGGTGCTGAGCTGGGCAGGGGAGCCCTGCTCTGAAGACGGCTTCGCAACAGCCCAGGGTCATAGGCCAGAGGTCAGAGGTCAGGTACTCCAAGATCTCAAGGGGCAGGAGACTGCCTCAAACCGCCTTGGCCCATGCAGTGGATTCGAGGAAAATCCCGTGGCCTCTGCAGTACAGCTTGGTGGATGAGAACAGATTTCGGAGCCCATCAGCCTGGGTGCAAATCCCCGCTCTGCACTTACTAGCTGTGTAACTGTGGGCAAGTGACTGACCCTCTCTGTTGCTCCGGTCACCTCACCTGTGTAACCTGGGGATGATAACAGCAGCACGTGTCTTACGAGGGCTAGTGAGAGACTTAAGCGAGTCGGTGGATGGAAAGATTCAGGCCAGCCTTCTCTCGCTCTCGCTGTTACCTCAGGCGCCTGGTTTGGGCGGTGGGGAGAGCGGCAGCTCCCTGGGAGCTAAGTCTGCCGGCAACGGACACGCAGGCCGGCTCGCGGCCTGGGCTCCCTGGCTGCTCCGGACCTGAAGCCTCTGGGTCTGCCGAGGCTCGTCCAGGACCGGCCCGGCCACCCGGCTGCGGGAGAGAAAGCTTCTCGCCACGCCAGCCCCTCCCGCCGCCCTGCTCCGCAGCAGGGACAAGGCCCAGGGGCGTCTATTTCCCAACTGCTCACTTCCTGCCGTCCTTCCTCCTTTCCTGAGAAGCCCCTGCCTGGACGAGGGGACCCCCATGGCACTCTCAGGGCCCACTCCCCACCCCCGAGAGCCCGTCACACCTGAGGGGCCCAGTTTCTCTCGGGTCACCACCAGAGCCCCGGCCAGGCCAGGCTGCCCTCACTGTCCACCCCTTCGCCAGCCTCCTGCCCGTGGTCTGCAAGGCCCTCTCCCCGTGGCGCACCGCCGCTCCCCCGCGGCCTCTGCCCCAGCCACCGACTCCTCGCTGTCCCAGGAGCCCACACCGGGCACAAGCCCCGTCCGCGCCACGCGCCAGCTGCTCCTGCTGCTGGCAGACCCTCCTACCCCGGAGCCCACGCGGGTCCTCGCCTCCTTCAGGTCCGAGGGCAGCACCGAGGCTCACACAGCCCTGGTCAAACAGCAGCCCTGACCTCCTGGCCTCAACCTCCTTGACCACTTGCTTTTCTCCACTTTTCTCTGGCTGCCCGACTCCCCGCCCCGTTAGAGTGTAACCTCCAGGAAGACAGGGATGTGGTCCAGGTTTGCTGGGTTTTTTGTTTTTTCACCATTTATCCCCAGCACCCCAATAGAGCCTGGCCTATGATAAGCATGCGACAGATTCTTGCTGAAGAAATGAGTAAATGAATCTGGCCTTTTCAGACTTTAAACCCAGGAAGAGCATTTTTGTTCCAAATGAAATAAAACTCTTTGATAAAAACCAGTATATTTCTCAATGCTGAGTTTCGCCTTGGCAGCCAAAAAATGAACTCTGATGTTTACCTAAATGCCAGTCATGATGTTCACCTGCAGCTGAACTTCAGGAGTTTCATCACGAGTCAATGTTCAATGTACAATTGAATCACCAGGTAAAAATATGTCGGGGAACAGGATACACATGCATAGTCTCAAAAACACCTCCCTACAGATTAGTTATTAACTGAAAAGGGAAAACAAGTAGCTCTCCAGCAGCAAAAGGCCACCACCTCCACCACACAGCAGGAGTTGACATCGTGTGCGTCCTTACGGGATGTGGCATTCTGGCCAAAAACGCACAACCGCAATCTAATCACAAGGAAATACCGGCGAACCCAAATCCAGGGGCATTCGACAGAACAAGCAGCTTTATAATGCCACAAAAATGTCAAAGTTAGGAAAGACAAAAACGGCTGAGGAACTGCTTCAGACTACAGGACTGAAGGGGTGGGACAGGGCCCTGCTCTGAAGACGTTCCGACAACCGGCAGAGTGACGGACTCCACATCACGCAAGTTTCGTAGGAAGGTGAGACTTCCTGAAACTGATCATTTTCCCCTTTTTCATATCCATTATCATCGTTATGTTTATGTGGAGAGAGAAAAAGCAAATGTGGCAAAACGTTATCATTAGGTGAAGGGCTTTTATAAGGGAGTTCTTTGAACTAGTCTCACAACTTTTCTGTAGGATTAAAATTTTTTTTCAAAAGACAGTTTCAAAAAAAGTATCATTTACTCCTCATGAGCAGCGTGAGGTGGGTATTTTTATGGTCCCATATTACACACTAGGAAACTGAGGCGCAGTGTCTGGAGTGGCCCCTGCGGTCCCACAGCACCGAGTGGTGCCCAGGGTCCCCCTGCAGCTCCATGGGGTGGCCCGGTCCCTGCCCACCGCAGGCCAGCGATGAGGCCTGACAACCTCCCCAGGTTCTCCGCCAAGCACTGCCTGGCAAGCCGACTTGAGGGCACCATCTGCCATTTCTACTGTATCTTTCATTTCTAAGAGCTTTTAAAATTTCCTTTCGGATTGTATCTTGTTCTTATGCATCCTATATATCATAATTTCTGAGACTAATGATAGTTCTCGAAATTTCTTTTCCCCACATGATTTCTGGCTCCTCCAAGTTTCTTTCCTGTCCTTCCTTTTTCTTGTCTTTTCTTTTTCAACTGAAGCTTTACTCAGAAGTCTGGCCACCCTTGCCGGTCCACTCCTTCATAGTTAAGAGGAGGGGTCGGGTACGGTGGCGCATGCTGTAATCCCAGCACTTCGGGAGGCCAGGGCGGGAAGATCGCCTGAGGCCTGGAGTTTTAAGAGCAGCCTGGGTAAGCAGCGAGACCCCCGTCGGTACAAAATCAACTCAGAGTGGGGGTGCGCCTGCAGTCCCAGCTACTGCAGAGGCTGCAGCAGGAGGATCGCTCGAGCCCAGGAGTTCAAGGTTGCAGTGAGCTACGACCGCACCACTGTGTTCTAGCCAGGGCGAGACCCTGTCTCAAAAAAAAAAAAGGAATACTACAAGGCTGATGGGTGGCTCTGTGGACATAGATGTGGTCACCGGAGCTTCCCGTTAGGGTGGTCAGGCTCTTCCTTTGCACTGCAGAACCCCCCAGAGTTCAGGTCTTCTCTTGGGCTGGTCAGACTCCCATGGATGACATCCAGTTTCCCAGGTGGAGACGTAAGCTTGGCTGACAGTATTCCCGGGGACGAGGACGGGCAGCAGCTGGGCAGGGGTCATATCGACACAGAAAACAGATGTACACATCCTCTCACCTCTCCACACCCCGGGGCCCTGGCCTCACCTAGAATCTCCCGCAGGCCCTGTTTTACCCTCTGCTCTCCCGCTGGGTGAGGGAAGTGGGACAGGAGACTGCAGGGACCGCTGTCTCAGCTCTCCTCTCTCAGGTCTGCTAAGCAGTGACCCCTCCTCCCTTTGCATCCTAGGTTTGGAAATGTTGTCGCCTCTCCCTTTCTTACCATCTCTATGGCTTAATGTTTTCCAGGCTATTCCTCTAATGTCATTGTCAGGGGGGCTGTCGAGGAAGCAGGTGGGCATTCAAACTGCCCCTTTGAGCCAGAAGCCACACGCCTGTCCTGTCTCCTTAGCAATGCTTCACTTTCCTTGTTAGCTGTTTGTTGCCATTGGACGTATTTGTTTGCTTGTTCTCTAAGCTTTGTCTCCTCCTCGAGCTTGCGTCGCAGCTGCTTTGCTGTGCACACTGTGTGTGCAGAGCCCGGACAGCACCTGACACGGACTGGCCCCCCCAACCCAGCCTGGAGAACAGGACCCATTTCACAACGCCGTTTCAAAGAGCACACACGCACGCAGCCGCATACACCTAGCCCACACGAAGAGTCTGAAAGGGCATACTCTGAGGTGTTAAGAGAGATCATCTCCGGGTGGTAGAGTTATTTGTAACTATAATTTTAAAATTTTTGTATGTTTTCTGAAACAAGTAGGGATCACTTGTGTAACAAACACTGAAAACAGAAAATTAAGCCACCCCTTAAAACTGAGCCCCAGAGAGGTTAATTTGCCCAAGGTCACACAGCTGTTACGTGGTGGAGCTGGGATTTGAACCTAGGCAGTCTGGCTCCTCTACGCAATACTCCCTTCCCTATTCCACAGGGCCACCCTCTTTGGGGCCTTTTCCTAAGAAACCTGTGCCGCAGCCACGTTTCCCAAAAGCAGCCCTATCAGATGGGGGAAACACGAAGAGTTCCAACCCTCCCTGGAGACACTTCGACAGCCGTCAGCAAACCACAGGCGTGATGAGACGGCAGAGCGACTGAGGCCGCAGACCGGGGTGTCGGAGGCAGGTCGCGGTGTGCTCTCTGTGATGCCTCCCGGAAGGGCAGGGAAGGAGAGCCTCTCCCCTCGGCGCTGGAGGCTGTCCGAGGATTGGCTGTGGGCAGACGCTGTGGGAGAACAGGTCTGGGGGACAGAGGGACTGGAGAGGACCCTGCCCCCAGCCGACTGGAGCACAGCAGGAAACGATGGCTGCTCTGACTTCCGTCTGTGGCACCGTCCCCGCCTCCCCACCCAGTAGGACAGTGTTAGATCATGGGGAGGGGATGATGGGGGCAGAGCCCCAGAAGAGAGACCTGGTGGTGGTGTTTCAGGCCCTCGTGGAGCTCGGGTAGCAGCTCCTTATCTACAGGAATGTTCTAGCGCAGCAACGGTCATACCGATGCCTCCCAGCTGAACAGTGGCCCTGTGCACACGTTCCTTCTCTCCGCAGTTCAGACACGCAGGCCGGTGTGCGCCTGGCTGGGACAGCTCTGCCTTGTCCGTCAATACCCTGATGATCTCCTGCAAGGTTTTCTCCAGTAAGTAAAGCTACCCCTTGTCCCCCGCCTGGACACAAAAGCCCAAATGCTCTCAGAGGTGGGAGGCAGGGCTATCCGGAAGAAAGTTAAGAGCAGCTGCCTCTCTCTGCTCCCTGCCAAAGCTAGCTTAGCCAAATCCCCAGGAAAATGCTGCTACACATGAAACATGACAATGAAAACCACAGACAGTCTGCTCTCCTTCCCATACACATGTTCAAACAAGACTGCCTTCCAGCCGCTGCCGATGGCTCCCACACGATGAGGTCATTTCCACGGCTCAGTCTGTGGCTCTGCTCTCCCTTCATTAACATGAGCCAGTTTAACTTATTTGACCCAGATGTGCAGGCCCCAGAGAACAGGGGAGGAGCAACGGCGAAGCATGATCCGAGTGTGAAGCCCACCTTCACACCCCTTCCTGGGAGTCGAGCAGAGCCGCCAGGGAAGGGTCCGATAGCCGGCACTGGCGAGGCGCACGGTCAAACCATTCCTGGGGGAGGCCTGCAAGGGACAGAGGCCAGTGGGAGGGCCTCACGGATCTGCATTTTCCTCCCCCCTTGGCCCTGGCCGTGTGGTCACTGGGAGACCAGGCCAGAGGCAGACGGGGTATTCACCATCCACATGACAGGGACGCTGGAGGTGCTCAGGAGGCCTGCAGAGACTCCATATCCAGGATAAACAAGGCTGCAGGGTGTGGTCAGGATCCTGTCAGAAGCTCTGACCACTCCACGGCAAGCCTCTAACCACCAATTATCTGTCTCTGGAAGCACAGAGCTGCTGTTAGAGGCCGAGGAGAGGCAGACGCTGACTTTAGCAAGACCCTAGATCTGACAGGCTCAGCTCCTTCCCTCCCTCTCCTGAGGCCTCTGAAGTCTAGGAGGGAGGGATGGAAGGGAGGCAGCAGCATCCGGTGGCAATACCAGCATCTCCTGGCCCCCAGCAAATCTGGTAACTCAGAATGCAGCCCCGGGGTGGCCGGGGAGACTTGGGTTGTAATGCACAGAGCGGTCCTTCAGGGAGGGAATGCTACTGCAGTGCGGCTGTGGGCTGATGGCACCGCACCAACTTCTACTTGGGCAGAAGGATCAAGAGCTGATATGCAACGAGATTAGGGAGCTGCCGTGTGACAGTCCTGGCCTTAGAGCTGTGACCCCCCACCCACACCCCTACTCAGGAAGAAACTATGCTGGGATTGAGTAGACAAGACCACAAGCGCTGTTAGACTGAACACCCCAAAATATGGCCTCTCTCAACGCACTGCCTGAAGGTGTAGTACTTCCTTAGTTCGCCCTGAAAGGAGCATGGGTACCTAGTCTCAAAGCAGTATCCTGGGACATGGCCATATTGCACATGCGGCAGGAAAGGAGGCAGCCAAAGGCACAGGATCACTCCCCTACCGGAGAAGCCCAGGCCTCGCTGAGCAGCACGTATCAGGAGCCGACGGCAGAGCCTCCGGCTACCATCCACACCCAGGGCCGAGCGATGAACTGGGACCAGCCACCCCATACGTGCCTTTGTCCACTGGTCCTGAGTAAGCTGACTTTTCTGCTGACTTGAGCCTCAAGACTGCCACGGTCTTGGGACCTCTCCCCACTGGAGAGACAGAGGGAGAAGGAGAACACTAGTCTTGTGGTGGCGGCCACATCTCAGTAGCTCAGGATCCACTCATTCTAAACAGGCTCTGAATACAACGGCTTCTCCCAGCCTCACGGAAGCCGTGGGTCTACACGGAGAACTGAGTAAGAGGGCCTTTGCTCTCGGCTGGCTGAAGGGAGGAGCGGGGGCCATGGGGAAGGCAGCAGCCAAGGGCTCTTGCGCTGAAGTAGTGGGGGAGGGGGCGTGGGCCACTCAGCCGAGAGAAAGTGCAGAGCCAAGACTCTGGGGGAGAATTTGATTCAGGTGGCAGGGACCTTTCCATCGTGAAATCTTCCCATTTGCTGTCAGCTCACTGCCGTTCCAAGCCCCAGAGGGGGCCCTCGCTTGCTGAGTTGTGAAGCCCCCGGGGGGGGGGGGAAGGAGAAGAGAAACCTGCCATCTTTAGGTGGCCTCAATTGCTGATGCCGAAGGAGTGAGGAGACTCCGGTGGGCTCACTCACCTTTCCCCTGTGCCGTCGACAACGCCTCGCCGCCGGGCCTGGCCACTGACTGCTCACTCTCCAGTTTTGTCCAAGGCTTTGTCTGCACATCACCCTCACCTGGACCACCCTTTTCCATTTTTCATCCTCCTCATCACCCACCCAGGGGGCCTCGTACCCCTCCTGATAAGAGTTGCTTCCCCTGCACCAGCCTGCCAGTTCCCCATGTGCACACTGTTTGTATTTTTAAATGTTATTAAAAGGCAGATGGGGGTCTTGCTATGTTGCCCAGGCTGGCGTGCAGTGTTATTCAGAGGCTCGATCCTAGTGCACTGCAGCCTTGAACTTCTAGGTTCAAGCAATCCTCCTACCTCAGCCTCCTGAGTAGCTGGGGACTGCAGGCACAAGCCACTGTGCCTGGGCACCTGCTCTTCATTAGCATCTCGTGGGCATGAATCAGAGTTGGGGTACACACGGCTTGGGGCTTTGTAGTACTGATGAACTGAGGGGCTCCACCCATGGCCAGCCAGGCTAATCTTTTGACTTGCTTTTTTGTTTTGTCTGTGTGGTGAGGAGTTAACCTCCTAAAAAGTCTATCTATCCAAGCAACACATGAATATGTTCTCAAATAATTCAAAAGTCTAACCTGCCAACCCTTTTTATTGAGGTAAACACTGTTAATAGTTGGGTGTTCTTCATCCCAGTCTTTTTGTTAATGACTCTACATAAACAGGAACATAAGCATACAAAGGTATTTTTTTTTTAATACAGGTCTTTTCTTTAAGCACAGTGGGCTGATCCTTCATGGACGATCTGAGCTCTCCCGTGACAGTCCACGCATCTTCCTCCTCCTCCCTGGAACAACTGCAGCAGCCCGTGGTGCACACACACCACGGCTCACTAAGCACTCCCCACATAGGATTGCTGCAGTGAACGTTTTATGCACATGTATGAGCACTGTCTAAGCCAGATGCCTGGAGGTGGAAATGCTAAGTCAAAGGGATGTGACAACCTGGTGGACCTGCCATGTCTGAGTCACACCTGCACCCACCGTGCATGAGCGTCCAGGAAGCTCTCTGTGCACAAGAGTCTGGCAGAAACTGAAGCGTCTGTCTCAGCTTGCAAACACCAGCTCTAGCTGGGGTAGCTGCAATGGGGCAACTCTCTGTGGTCTTAGCTCCTGACACCTATAGAGGCCTCACCCAGCACATCTAGACATGCAGAAGGCGCCCAACTCCTATTTAACGGTGGCTGCCAGACCACTGCAAAAACCACAGCAACGGCAGCAATGAAGTAGGAAAAGAAAGAAAGCCATAACAGTGCCGAGAACAGGAGGGGGAAGGAAGCAGCGAATGAGAGACTACAATTCTCAACGTTAGGAAGCAGAAGGCAGCGTGTAAGAGGATGAAACGACGGTGGAGGAAGCTGCGGCCTGGAGCACACGACGGCCTCCATGGAGGGCACTGCCAGGCTTGCCACAGGGACGCAGGATGGACACCTGCTCCAGCTAACGGGTTACAGGGGACAGGAGGGGAAACAAGGCTGGAAACTGGAATCAACTAACGGGCTGTCTACAGAACAGCTGCGCTGGCTGGCTCCGTCCACGGTCACACCTTCAACCCAGGGGCAGGCACTTAACGCCAGACGAATCGGAAAGGCGGCCTCCCAAAACATTAAGCCAACGGACTGGAGCAGGGCTGCTAAAGTTTTCTGTAAAAAGCCAGACAGTGAATATTTTAGGCTTTGCAGGCCACATAGGGTCTCTATATCTAATGTTACTCCCCGTTTGGGAGGGAGGGTAGGTGTGGTGCCCCCAGGCTGCCAAACCGCACACCTTACACAAGGCCTGCCAGTCAAAAAGCCCCACCCCATCCACACAGCACCACGGCAGCTGCCCACTTCGGAGAGGCGTATGGTGGAAACAGCCCTACCAATGCAACAGTGGACAAAACCTACATGAGCTCCCTGGAATACTGGCCTGGTGCTTCGTTTTTAAATATGAATGAGCCAACATGAATCCCTAGACATTGAGGCAAAACCAGAGCCTGAAAAAGAATGACCGAGATAAAGAACTGGAACCAGATCCTAGGGGAAATGGAATAATTTGGCAGCCAGGAGATAATTTTAACAACGATTTCAACTAGTGTGTCAGGGAAAGTCAACCCCATTTAGGTTCTGTAAAACAAGAGCAAAATGCTGTGAGAATGAAATAATCAGAGTACGAGAGAGAATTAAAAATATGATTGCCAAATTAACACTTTCCCCAGGAGGTCTGGAAGACAAAGTGAAGACAACCTTCCTGTCTGTAGAAGAAAAGACACAGATGGAAAAAGAGAGGGAACAGACAGGCACATAGGATCAACCTGGAAGTCTAACAGCTAATAGGATTTCCAGCAAGAGGAAACATGGGAAATGGAGGGAAGGAACTTATCAGAGAGATAACGGGAAAAAATGTTCAGAACAGAAGAACGCCACAAGACTTTAAACTGAAAGGGCCCAAGAGTACCCAGAGCACTGAATAAGGGAAAAAACCCAACCTATACACAGCCTCACAAAGTTACAGAACACCAAAGATGAAGAGAGCATACTGTACACCTCCAAAGAAGAAAATAAAGCAAAAACAAAAAAATCCCAGGTTACCTACAAGGAAATGAGAATCAAACTAACATCAGATAACTTACTAGCAACGACAGATGCTTTAAGTCAATAGATCAATGCCTTTAATGTTTTGAAGGTAAATAAATTTAAATTCTGTATTCAGTTAAACTATCAATCAAAAGTGCAAGCAAAAAAAAAAAAAGGATTCAAAATTTCCTTCCACTATTCTTTCTGAGAAAGTGCTTAAGAATGTGCTTTAGGGGCTGGGCGCGGTGGCTCACACCTGTAGTCCTAGCACTCTGGTAGGCCAAGGTGGGTGGATCGTTTGAGCTCAGGAGTTCAAGATCAGTCTGAGCAAGGGCGAGACCCCCATTTCTACTAAAAAAATAGAAAGAAATTAGCTGGACAACTAGAAATATATAGGAAAAGAAATTAGCCGGGCATGGTGGCACATGCCTGTAGTCCCAGCTACTCGGGAGGCTGAGGCAGGAGGATCGCTTGAGCCCAGGAGTTTGAGGTTGCTGTGAGCTAGGCTGACGCCACGGCACTCACTCTAGCCGGGGCAAGAGTGAGACTCTGACTCAAAAAAAAAGAATGTGCTTTAGCTAACCGAGAGAGTAAAACAAGAAAAAAAAGACACAGAATCCAGAAAACTGTGGATTTAACCCAGAAAAGTTGTGAAATGAAGGCTCAGCTTGAAAGCTACACAGCATGCTTAAACAATCACTTGTCCAGACTGGAGAAGCAGGAAAGAGCTTTCTGGAAACAATGTTACCCACAAGGAAGGAGACGTCACGTAATGGATTATCAAACTAAGTGGCTGGATAATTTTAAGAGCAAAGAGTAAAGGTACACCATTCTTTTAACCACAATAAAAAACGAGGCACCCAAAAACTCCATGGAAAAGTAAAAGCTGATAAAATAATGATTCAAATATGAAACGAACTGAAATGCAGCATGATTTGGAGGGATTGTTGGAATGTAAGCAAAGAGAATCCACTTGACCGAGACAGCAGAAGCACTTTTGTAGGGGGCAAGATCACACGCTGGGCAGGTGGAAAAGGAACTAAAATCCTAGTGCTCTGCTTGAGCGTGCTGCAAGTATTAACATGACCCCCACCGTGTAAACACCGCTTACTGGTTCAACTTAGAACCCATTCACAAAGCACAAAAGACTTCCTCATACTCACGCACAGCACACAGCGTGACGACGTGAAACAAAAGCACGGTGACAGCAGCCGGGAGCCGGCAAAGAACAGAAAGGTGGGGGAGGCTGGAGGCACCGATCATGTCCCGTGTTGAGGGCTCCCAAGGCAATAAAAAGACACATAAACATTAAAAATTGGGAGGAGAGGAGAGTGAGGAGGACGGAAGTATACTTTCACTGCAGAGAATTGTTAATATCGAAATGCGGTAAATTAAGAAAGAGTTGTATAAGCATGTGATTCATTTAAGTGTCTGGAGGAAACCACCAGAAGCACTAACCCCAGAAATGTTCTTAACAACGGCTGTTCTGGGAAGCAGGACCAGCGTAGCACGGAGGGGTGCAAGAGCCTGTTCCTGTCCATTATAAGCCTTTTGTTGCTATTTGATTATCTGACCGTGTGATTCTACGACTTTGATAAATGCCCTGGCCTGACCCAGGGACTCTAATTCTGTGGGTCCAGATTCTGTATTTGACAAAGCTCATTAAGCAATTCTGATGAACGGTACTACTTAAGAGCCATTTACCAATAAAACCTGAGATAAATGATTCCATGACCTCGTATGATAAAGAAACCTCCTGAGGTAGTCTAGCCAGCTATTTGATTCCTCATTTTTCATTCAGGGAAACTGAGTCTCGGCAGTTCAGTGACTTCCTCTGGTGTTGCCTGCTGGCCACAAGCCTGCAGTATTTCTCATGTTAGACGACCATGTCCTCCTCGGGGTGTCCTGGCGGAGACCTAGCTGGCAAGGCATTCCCTGTTGTTCACTGTCCAGAGAACTCTTGTCCCTCAGCTCAGCTGCAACGGGAGGGCTGCCCTTGGGGAATGGGTGAGAGGTCTGTGCCAGTCTGTGCCAGAGAGGCACCCACAGAGCCTGGTACCCAACTGCCTGGTTCTCTTCCAGTTGCTGTAGGTCCTGCCTACACTGCCCTATTCTGCTACGGCTGGCATCATCCTGGAGATGACACCCCCACCAACTGCTGGGGAGAAAAGGGTCTGGCTCAGCCACGCCCCTGCCCCAGAGAAGAGGATGCACTCAGAAATGGAAGTCTGATAATTCCCAAAACCCAGAAGTAGGAGGCTGAAACTGAACATCTTCACTTTCAGCAACTAAAAACCAAACTTGAGAATGAGGATGGAGCCCTGCAAATTCATGGGAGAATATTCTAAGTCCATCTAAGGACTTGCCAGTTTGTCTTAACTTTCGATTAGGAAATACACTGTACATATAAAACAAGGGGGTGTGTATATAAAACATGTACCACTTAAAGAACCTAAAATCAGGCCAGACATGGTCGTGCCTATAATCCTAGCACTTTGGGAGGCCAAAGAGGGAGGATCACTTGAGCCCAGGAGTTCGAGGCTACAGTGAGCTATGATTGGGCCAGTGTACTCCAGCCTGGGCAACAGAGTGAAACTCTATCTCAAAAAAAAAAAAAAGACTTAAAATAAAATAAAAATAATACACATGCACAGAACACATAGTTCAAGAAATAGAACTAGAATTTTTGACAGTCTCTCTGCCCTGCCCTCATGAGGGATAATCACCTTTCTGATTTGGGGGTTAATCGTTTCTTTTTTACCTTCATAGTCTTATGGTGTACGTATGCATCCCTAAGCAGCATATTGCTTAGTTCTGCTCGTTTTCATCTCCATATCATTGGAATCACACTGTGTGTATTCTGTGTCTTGCTTTTCTTGCTAGACATGGTGAGATTCATCGCTCATTGATGTGAGCAACTGTAGTTCATTTTCAGTGCCATTTTAAGGGAGGTAGCAGAAATATACCTCAGTTTACCTATCTATTCTGCTGTCGACTGTTTCTAGTTTGTTCTATCTTTAACAATGCTGCCAGGAACACTCTTCAGGGAACGGCTAGTTTTTTAAAATGCTCCTTCCAGAGAAGTCCTCACCCCTCCATCAGGTCTGGATTTTGCCTCTGCAAGGAACACAGGGCAGAAAACGCTGGCCTGTAACTAAAGTACTAGGAGTTCTCTGCAACCAGACAAGATTCCCAGGATCCCATCCCTCTGCTCCCCACCCTGGCCTCACTCACACGCAGATGCCGTCTCCTCTTTCGAACCTGAGATTCCACCTCCTGCTTTACATCGGAGAAGACAACTGGCCTTTTCAGAGGCCGCCTGGATTTCTGAGTCACACCCCTCTCCCTACTCTCTGCCTGCTTCCTCCCCAGCTGAGAGGGAACAGACTTCAGTGAAAGGGCTCCACAGATAGGCCGCAGGGTGTCCGCTGAGGTGGAGGAGGAGACACCCGCTCCGCCAGGCCTGGAGGGACAAAGGAAGTGCTCAGATGCCAGCTGTCCGGCCACTAGTTCCTCGCATGTGCCACACGGCAACAGAAAGGAGAAAGGAAACCTACCCACGGGCAGGGCCAGTCACTTTCCCACGTTACATGTATTGTTCCATTTAAGGCTCATATAATTTGAAAGATAGAAAAACAGTAACAGGCAACACAACAGTAACACTTTTTGGATACAGACTACATGCTGGCTGCCGTGCTAAGTGGTTTGCGTACCTTCGCTCAGTGGGTCCTAACCTGTTACCGTGGCCACGAGGTCAGTTTAGGAGGTTAAGAGCAGCATTTAAAAAAGGAAACAGGTAAGACTAGAAATAGACAGAAAATACTAGAGAGTACCCCATAACGTAAGGGTGAGCACTGTTTTGTGAAACTTTTGTTTCACTCATATCCATGTATATTCATTTATGCATACTGGACCATAATATGAAATGTATCTCTCACTGCGGGCAGAGCTAAAGGACATTGTAAAACACTTCCTTATCTATTTCACAACTGTCCCACTGCGATATGTTCAGTTACTAATCTAATTTAACAGAGAAAATAGCTGAAGCTACTTCCTCAACTTACCTGTGCCACCTGTGCCACACATCCCGGCCACCACCTCGCCCCATGCTCCCAACACAGTGGCCTCCTTTCTGGTCCTCTTTCCTTCCCTAGGACATGTGCTGTTTCCTCAGCCCAGAACATTCTCCCCACACCTCTCGCCAGCTCTCGGCACAGCCGGTTCCTTCCCATCCTTCAGGTCTCAGCTTGGGTGCCATCTCTGCTGCAGAGCCCGCCTGGAGCCCTGGTCTGAGCAGCCCCTCTGCCACTCGTGGGCACTCAGACATCTGCTTGCCTGTCTGCCGTCTGCCTTCCCCACTAGAGCTCCGAGGACAGGGATGACATGTGTCACATTCACCAACGCCTCCCTCCCGTCCACCAGAGTAGCTGGCACTTCACGTCTGTTAAACGGACGAAGAAGCATGCCAGGTCCTCACGGTTAGTAAACGGCAAAGCCGGGATTCCAACCCAAGCCCTGCTCTTAACCCCTGCGCTGCCTTTGAACTCAGAACGAGGCAACGCTGCCCCCCACACCACTGGAAAGTGCCAGCACCAGGACGGAACCCAGGCACGCCCAACTCCCGAGGCCCCTGCTCTCCCCACGGCGTCACGTGGTGAGGAGCCGGGAGTGGCTCCCAAGAGCAGCCTCTTGTGGTCAGCCGAGAATGTGGAGGGGAGAGGCGAATGAGGAGGCTACACAACCTTCAGACTGGGAAAGAAGAAATTTGCCAGCGACTAAAGAAATACCGGAAGAAATCACACGTGCACACAATTTCTGCTGCGTCCTGGAGAGCAGCCAGCTCAGAAACGAGGGAGGGAGCTCCTGGGCAGGCGGCATTCTGAGGCGGTCTGGAGAGACAGCCAGGACAGCAGAAACACTCCAGGCGCAGCCGAGCAAGGGCGCCGAGGGCCGAGGCTGCAGGGCCTGCACCTGAAGGCCCCTGGGGGGCAGCGCTGAGCTGGAGATGCTGAAAGGAGCCCTGAGGAGGCCCCGGCCGGTGGGCCACAGGGATCCTTCGGCAACGCTGCCACCCTGTGGCTGTGGAACGCCCGGCCCACGGGAAATGATCCGCAGACGGGTCAGTCTGGGGGTTCCTTCTTCAGCGTTCACTTACTGAGCACCTAACACGGTCTGACACAGCTCCGACCTTCGCGGAACTCTGCCCCTTACAACCAGGCAGTGGCCAAACCTCTTTTCACCTCCCTCTTTGCGTAACTTGTGCCCCTACCCCAGACAAGACTGAGGGCAAGGGTGCCAGCTTATTCACCTCTGAAGCTACACTACCTAGAACAGGGCCCAGCACGTCGGAATAATAAAGCAGCCACTACTCAGTATGTGCTAAGTGCTTTTGATTTATTTCAGAGACAGGGTCTCGTTCTGACACCCAGGCTTGAGTCAGGGGCACAATCATAACTCATTACAGCCTTGAACTCCCGGGCCTCCTGAGTAGTGGGAACTACAGGCGCACACCACCATACGTGGCTAATTTTTTTTTTGGTAGAGACGGTGTCTCAATATGTTACTCAGGCTGGTCTCGAACTCCAAACTCCAGCGATCCTCCCATACCGGCCTTCCAAAGTCCTGCGATTACAGGTGTGACCCACCCTGCCCGGCCTTGTGCATTTGAATACATTCTCAAATCTCACCTTTGAGGTACCTATGAGACCTCCAAATGGAGACATAGAGTAGAAGTTTATTTCAATACAAGCCTGGAGTTCTTGGAGAGGACAGGGGAAATAAAGACGGTGTCACCAGCACACAGACGGTCTATTTTTAAAGTCCAGTGCATATGGCTCACCAGGAGATTGTGCCAAAATGCAGACTCTGATTCTGCAGTCTGGAGTGGGGCCTGAGATTGTTTCTCACAAGCTTCTAGCTGGGCCCATATTGCTGGCCCACAGACCCCACTTTGAATGGCAAAAAATCTGGAACGGGGGTTAACAAACTATGGCCAGGAGGTCAAATGTGGCTTCTGTCCTGTGTGTGTATAACCAGCAAGCTAAGAGTGATATTTTCATTTTTACAGGGGCTGAGAGAAAGAAAATGAAAGAGAAGGAAGGAAGAGGAGGATAAGGAAGGGGGAAAGGAAGGAAGAAGGGAGAAGATGGAGAAGAAAAAGAGACAGAGACCATTTGTGCCTCGCAGAGACTAAAATATTTACTCTGGTTCTTTACAGAAAAAGTTTGCCAACCCCTGATTTAAAATATCACCCAGGGACAGGTGTTTAGCTAAAAAAGGGAGAGACGAGGACCAGGCCCTTAAGCAAACTGTTGTGACTTCCAAATCGCCACGCCTGGTCTGGGGAGGACGAGTAAGAGTGCAAGGCACTACATGCACAGCTGACCCTCTGTATCTGTGGGTTCCGCAACTGTGGACTCAACGGACCACGGACCAAAAATATTCGGGAAAAAGACAGACGGTAGCATCTGTACTGCAACATGTACAGGTATTTTTTTCTTGTCATTATTCCCTAAACAATATAGCATAACAACTATTCACACAGCATTTGCATTGTACTTAGGTAGTAAATCTAGAGATGATTTAGTATACAGGAGGAGGATGTGTGTAGGTTATATGCAAATACTACAACATTTTATATAAGGAACTTGAGCATCCATGGATTTTGGTATCAGCAGAGGGTGCTGGAACCAACCCCTGACGGATGCCATGGGACAACTACATGCTAAGTAAGAAGGCAGGAAAAGATGAGCTAACCTCTGAGGCTTCCAGGTGACTGGGGCTGGTCCCGGGGAAGGGGTTCTGGAGACATTTGGGGTTCTAAGTGGGAAACAGGACCAGTGGTGAACCAACAGCTGAATGTCTCTTTCAGTGTTGATCCTGGAACAAAACAACATAAGCAGAAAGAGGGCAAGGACCACCACCACTGGCGTGCAGTGCTACAGAAGTCCTGGGGACATAAAACAAACAGGAAAGCCGGGGAATTCCACAGGGTTGTCCTGTAGAGCAGAACCGTCTGAATTTTGGCCAAGGGTGCGGAGGGTGGGCAGAGGGACTGGGTAAGGTGTGGGAAAGAGTGTGGCAGCAAAATAATGGCCCAGAGCCTGCAGTTTGGGGACCACCCCAAGCTGAGTTTGGCTACAGTGCCTGCTGTCATGCTGCTGCCACCCTGTGCTGAGGGTATATTTGCTTAAATGTCAGCGCCTGAGAAGATAAATACAGCTGCCCGTTTCCATCAACGTGAACCGATCAACCTGGCTCGCTTTCAGTGGAGGGCCAGGCTATTTTGCTTTAAGTTGTGACAGGTTTGCTTGCCCCATCATCAAGTAAGTGTCCACGTATATCTCTGAAGGACAATAGCACCCTTTCATGGGGTTTAGGGAAGACTATCTATCAAAAGACCATGCAGCAGGATATCTGTAAAGCCACATTGTTCTTAAATGCTCAAGGGCAAACTAGAAGACAGAAGTATGTGACAGAGCCCAGAACTTCATGGTTGGAAGGAACCTTTAAGGTCAACCAGTCACCCTCCAGCAAAGCTGCCCACAAAATCTAACCATCCAGAGAAAACACACACATGCCATGCCTGGCTTTTGGCATGGAATATTTTCCTTCTTTTTAATAAATTAAAAAATACTTGGAATCGAAGATAAATCTCTGCCTTTTAACCCATGAGTTCCTACCCTTCTCAAGCCCGCCTCCCTAGATCACACTATTTGTCTCCCACACCAGGAAGCAGCCACCTTCAGGAAAGTGACTGATCTTTGCAGCACCCAGCACACTGGTTGGCCCTTGCTATATAAGAGTGGTGGGCAAGATCCCAGTCTACTGAAAGACCTTAGTTTTCCTGCCACCTACTGGCTATACGGTTTTGGACACCTTACTTAACCTTTCGAAACCTGTTTCCAGCTAGGCTGGTGGTTCACTGCCTATAATCCCAGCACTTTGGGAGGCCCAGGCAGGAAGATTCTTGAGGCCAGGAATATAAGAACAGCCTGAGCAACACAGCAAGACTCTAACCCTACAACATTTTTTAAAAAAATTAGCCAGGGCCGGGCGCGGTGGCTCACACCTGTAATCCTAGCACTCTGGGAGGCCGAGGCAGGAGGATCGTTTGAGCTCAGGAGTTGGAGACCAGCCTGAGCAAG